TTTGTACTATAAATAATAAATAAACAACACTCAATTATTGCTTCTAAATTATTCTTGAAAAAACTTTAATTTAATTTTTTTTAACATGCGTCTTTATTTCTGTCGATGACGCAATCTGTGCGTACCTGATTGATTCAAGATCACGTGACGAAAACGATCCCGTCTTTTGACTGCACCGTATGCCAAGGGTTTATGACGAGAGTAGCGTATCATAAACCCTTGGCTAGCAAAGATGATGTACTACTTACATAATATGGTACGTTCTATATATCCATATAAACTCTAATTATATTTCTTTTTCTAGACAATTATTTCAGGCACTTAAACAAGCCTTTCTTTTAACATCTTGCAACATTCTGAGATTTATCAGTGAAGTTGATTTTCGTATCTAAGTATCAATTAGTAACAGACTGGAATGAATTCAAGGACGGTCTTTTTTAATGTCTATACTTGTGTTGTACATAATTCGAAAGGAAGGGCAGTTTCTGGCTGTATACAGACATGTAGAACATGTGGTTGATGTGTTTTCAACGAATCCACTCAAGTAGTAAAACTTATTTCTCGGAATACACGTGTTGTACTCTATAAATTAAAGTTGGGCGTGTAGTGTGCAGGATATGGCGATAAATGCTAAAACTTTTATTAATCAACGTTCTTAGCAATGGACAAAAATAGGGATGATGAAATGGTAAGCAAACGGTGTAATATTCGAAGTAGGGAACTAGGATTATATAGTTTATGTTAATATTTGTCTCAGGTGTGTTGCCGATTCTTAATGAAGACTGAATAAAAACAGAATAAAAACCTTTTTTTTTCTCTCGGACTCTTGAATTATTAATCATTGAAAAAGCAGAAATATTATGAGCAATTGTTTTCCGTATTCCTTTTTAACTAGCACAACAATGCCGTAGATTTGTTTTTCCTCTCAACATGTTTTGCATGGTAGTGAAGATCATACATACACAGGTAAAGAATGGTGAAAAGCACCAGGCGTCCGCAAAAATTCTGAAGCATTTTAATTTATTTCAACAATAGTCAAAATGCTTTTGAGGGTTTAACGTATGACGGGTTTGACGCATTTTTAATCCAAAGAAGAAAAGTGTAAATTGTTTATTTCAAAAACATATCATTTACTATTGAGTGACATATATTGTATATCAACACATATGTTACTACAAATACATGTACACTATAAATCATATATTTGAAAATCAGAGATTACAGGATAGCATTTATGGAAGATCTGGAGACAACTCTACATGAAAACTTAGCATGTGGCATTCAAATTGACCAAATAAATATCTTTTTACTATTGTTCGCGGACGATCTAGCTATAATAAGCGAAACACTCAATGGGTTACAAAACCACCTTAACAGTCTATACACATATTGTCAAAAGTGGGGTCTTTGTGTTAATGTAGATAAAACAAAAGTAATGATTTTTCAAAAAGGGCAGACAAAAAAAGGATATAGATTTACTTATAGTGGTAATACACTTGAAATTGTAGACAGTTTTGCATATCTTGGATTGTTGTTTTCGTCAAATGGACTTTTTAACAAACATGTAAAAAAAAAACAGCAGAAAAAACACTACAATTAAATAATGCATTCATGAGTAATGTTCAAAAATTGTCTCTAGACTGTAAAACAGTGTGTGAACTTTTTAACGTTGCATGTGTTTCAAAAATGAATTATGGGGCAGAAGTGTGGGGATTCATACCAGCAAAAGAATTAGAAAGAATACATTTAAAATTTGGTAAAAGACTACTGGGAGTTAAAACTTCAATAAGTACCCCGGCGGTTTATGGTGAATTAGGAAGAAAACCGTTAATACTAACTAGAACATTTCACATTATTAAATATTGGTTTAAAATTCTCAGATCAGAAAACTGTCTAATAAGATCAATTTATAATTATGATTTAAAGAATATGGCTACAAATTGGATTATTTTTGTGAGAGAGACACTTTTTGTCTCATGGCTTTGGAGATGTGTGGTATTTCCCTGAATCTGTAAATGAAAATGTTTTTTATAGGTACTCTGGACAAAGACAAACTGATTGTTTTTTCCAAAAACTTAGAGTAGATATAGAAAACGCTCATCCTCTTAAATTGTTTAAATATCTAAACCCGACTATACAACAGGCTAAATATCTTAATTGTATATATTATAAAAAACACAGAGAAGCATTAACTAGACTCAGATTATCTTCTCATGGTCAGCGCATCGTATCTGGTAAATATGATCAAAAATGTACCACAAGTGAACAGAAAATGAACATTTTGTACATCAAACGAAATAGAAGACGAATATCATTTTGTTTTAATATGTAACTTTTATACTGAGTTAAGAGAAAAATATATTAAAAAATATTTTTATGCAAGACCTAGTATGGCATAATTTATTGAATTACTTAATTCCAATTCTGAGAGTATACTTAAAAAACTTGGGAAATTTGTGTATGAATGTTTTAAAAAGAGGGAAAACGCTACCATTCAGTAGCATTGATAATACAAAAGACACATGTATCGCTACTTATTTTTTTCTTTCTGTTTTATATATTTGTAATACCACCTGTGTGACACCTGTTTACCAATGTATATATATAAAGTAATGTTATATGTGGCAAGATATGCAATGTATAAGCCAATAAAGATACTACTACTATCAAAAGATGAATACAATATATACAATTATTGTACGCATGCGTGGGAATAATGGTTGGTACTTTTTCAGTGATGATGAAAATGTGAATATTTGTGAATATTTTATTAATTTCTGAAGTCTAAGCAGTGAGTAATTGTAATTGTCTGAAATTGTGAACAATTAAAGACAATGAGTATGAATATGAGTAATCCATTGAATTGAATTGAAATATATTTATACTAAAATGTATATTTACATATTATCTCTGCGGATTTTAATTTCATTTACATATTACGCAGTTACAAACATGATTTCAATCTTCAATTTGAAAAACTTGTAAACGCAGAATGAATTTGTGATTAAATATTATCACCAGAAGATTTTATCTTTCAGCGTTGCACCAAATTTTCTATTCTAATAAAAATTTGTGGGAAGACAGTATAGCTACATGTACATTTAGAGTTTAAATCTGATCGGGAAACTCGATGACCATCTCGAAAGAAAATAATTCAACACGCAAAAATATTTTCTTGCGATTTCTTGTATAGTACTGTAAGTGAAATTGATTGATCTTTTTGAAATACGAAGATAATGTATAATGCTTGAAAACAAAAGGCATGAGAAAATGTTGAATTTCATATCCCAACGGGGTTCACATATTCAGGACTCACAAACTTTTTGACAACTGTGCTCGACCTAGCGCTATCGCACTGTCAAAATATTGCTTAGAATTCTTTTAAATTAAAATAATTCTGACGAATTCCAAATCAATATGCTTAGCGCTTCCAAGTACTTTCAGTACTGTGATTTAGAATAGGTACATGAATGCTGGGAAGTGCAAAGATGTGACATAATTATGCTGAAAATGGACATGAATGAGAACGATTCTATAGGTTATGTGAAGGAGACACCATTAAAAATTACTAATAAATCCTTGCAAAAATGTTTATGAAAGTTCGTTTCCAATAATTAAAGTAGAATAGAAACAAACAACCAGTCTCTTTATCATTATGAATATTGATTAGATGTTAAGAGAAGTAACTCAAAATTAAAGAATAGTGCTGGTATTTCTGTGTTTTGTTTCAATATTTGTATTTTCAGCCAAAGTATATGCATGTACACGGAAAAAAAGGTTTCAACAATTTATTTTATGTATAAACCTTATGAAATAAAACGGTTTTGGAGAAAACGTATGGTTAAAAATAATATAGGCCCATTTTATCAACATTTTAACCTGTTAAACCTGTTCAAAAAATCTTGAAGAATTCTATTACGAAAGCCAGAAACGTTGCCATTGTCCTTAAACCTCTCTACACAGGTTGATTATAGATAGCTGAGGCATTTAAATCACGTGACATGGTAACAGGTGTTTAGAATGAAGACAAGGAAGTAAATTGTTATGTATAGGTTTACTGGGGGGCCATATTGGATTTAAAGGTGAGAAAGAATCATATTTAGAAAATTTTAACATGTTGCAAGACATTTCCAGATGTCATTAATGGTCTCAAGTCTTGTACATGTATAATGCATTAGCTGAAATTCATGAAAGAGCAACTATAGATCATATTATATATATAGGATCTCCCATGGTTTGTGGTTTGATATGATTTTTATCCAACGATGTTTGTTTTTTCTATCCCCCAGCCTTGGCGGGGGGATAGAAAACACACAACGAGTTGGATAAAAATCATATCAAACCACAAACCATGGGAGATTCTTTTCATCACATATTTTTGCATGTTCACTATAAATGTGTATTTTGTCCTTATTTCTAATTCAAAGTTCCTTTTCGGTTACTTGGACCAAATAACGTAATAAATAATATTACGCTGTATGAAATAGTTCGTACAAAAATAAAAGAAAGAAAATATTTCAGAGCTTAATTTTTTTTAAATTCATGAATGAAAACGTTAAAATATGTCAAATAATGTGAAATTTGACGAATTAAGTCATTATCTCCATCATACACATGTATTTGTTTATTTACATTACATCACGCGGCGTAGGTATACATAGTGTTGATACGAAAACGATATCACATGAGCTATATCAACGGGATAAAGGGGAAAATATGTGATAAAAATTGATTCGACTTTATAGTTTTTAAATTCTCTTCCAATTGAATTTGTAACATAAAAAATGTTTACACGACATTCCAAAACTACAAGTACATGTAGATCCTTCCTGTTTTTTCTAAACTGACTTTGTCTTACAAATTCACTTACAAAACATAACTCTTACCAGGTACATATATAATGTATTTGTTTAAAATTATGTGCAATTTCTGAAGTCATTGACCATGCCTCCACATATTTTATACAGGGTCATCTAAATTGTTTTAACAAAGCCCCAGTGATGGACCCCCTGGACAGAGCTCAAGTACTCCTTCTCTGTGACCTGTGTCAAAGGGCTGCATTGCAGAGTCATTGTGAACTTTGTCAAATTAACCTATGTAAGACTTGTGTAGGGGAGCATCTCTCTGATTTATCTAAAAGACACAATGTTGTACCATACAATCAGAGAAAATCTACTCATAACGTGAACTACCCAAAATGTCCAAACCACACCCAGAAACATTGTGAACTTTACTGTGAGAAATGCGACATTCCTGTCTGTTCTACCTGTATCTCCTCTGATAAACATTCTGGGCATAAATTTACAGATATCTTACAGAAACCCAGCTTCATTAAAGAAATTTTAAACAAGGAATTGAAAGAACTAGAAAAAGCAATATATCCTACCTATGAAGAAATTGCATCAGATTTAAATTCTGAAAAACTTATCTTGGAAAAACATTATGAGAAACTGACAACAGTTGTCATCAAACATGGAGAAGACTGGCATAAAGGAATTAACATCATTGTCAACAAACAGAAATCTGAAATTGATGAGATAAAAACTAAACATCTGGCTGCTCTAAATCATCAGGAAACTGAAATCAAACAAATTACTTCTGAAATAAAACAGAGCATACAAGATCTGAAGAAAAAACTGGACTCCAGTGATGCCTCTATAACCTTGGCATACAAATCCAGGAATGCTGAATTCAGAACTTTACCTCCTAAATTAAATTCTTCATTACCATGTTTCTGTCCTCAACAGATCAACATAGAACAGCTCCATCAAATGTTCGGTTCACTGTCAGCATTATCCATTACAACAGATGAATATGGCTACATAATGAAGACACCAGAAGCTGTATCTTGTCTTTCAGTCAAACCACAGCTTGATGCACCAGAGATCATCACTACCATCAGCACTGGGTATACTCCGCTATATAGTCTTAGCTGTCTCAGTGATGAAGAAATCTGGACACGTGGAGGAGACAAAATCATTAAACTCTACAACCTCCAGGGTAAACTACTGAAGTCAATTCAAACCAAGTCAGGGAACATACCTCGTGACATAGCAGTGACAAGGAGAGGAGATCTAGTTTATACTGACCCTGATACAAGAACTGTAAACATAGTGAAGAATGACCAGATACAGGAAGTGATTAGACCACTGGGTTGGAAACCTCACTATGTCTGTAGTACCTCCTCTGGTGACCTCCTGGTTGTCATGGTCAGTGATGATTATAAACAATCAAAGGTTGTCCGTTACTCTGGATCCACAGAGAAACAAACCATTCAGTTTGATAGTGAAGGTAAACCTCTTTATTCAACTGGCGGCCTTAAATACATCAGTGAAAAAAGGAACCTGGATATTTGTGTGGCTGACTGGGAAGCCCGTGCAATAGTGGTGGTTAATCAGGCAGGAAAACTCCGATTTAGATACATTGGTCGCTCTACTATCAAGGGACCATTAAGACCATACGGCATCACAACAGACAGCCGGAGTCAGATCTTGACAACAGACTTGAACATTCACCGTATCTACATCCTTCATCAAGACGGACAGTTCCTCCGTTACATTGATAACTATGATCTACAGTTTCCATATGGTTTATGTGTAGACATCAGAAACAACCTCTTTGTGGCTGAGTGGCACAGTGGTAAAGTGAAGAAAATCAAGTATATGTAAACAAAGTGTTTTAAATAATGACATGTTTTTCGTAGATTAACAGTAGTCAAAATCACAAGATGTTGATTAATTCAGTTTCATTTCCTAGTGCTCATGTGCTGTGTGAAAATATTTTAGATAATAATATTATCAAAAAGGTATAATATATAATTAAATGTCATAAATAACAATTGTTTCATTATTCTTCCTGACTGCACAATAATGAAAAGTAACATTGGAAGAAACCTTCAATATCTCAAAATGAATGCCATGTTTAATTGCGAGTTTAAATAAAGTAAAGATTTATTATGTACTTTTACATTTTTTTTTTCAAGTTGACGCCCTGTCATGTACTGCACACTAAACAGTTGTGATTATACTGTACTTTTCATGCAGCTAGAATAATATGTCCTTAAATCTTCAATAAATCTAAATCCTTTTGATATACTGTAGTTATATTTAATTTATTTTAATTGTGTTTTAATTGACCAAGGTAATTTAAACACGTCATTAGCATGTTTTTCATGGGCTGATTGGACGCAAGCTTAAATTAACAGGGCGTGACTGTATATGTAGTATGTAATACAAAACAAAACGAGAAAGCTGATTCAGAAAAAAAAATTGTAGTTTTTTCATCTCAATTTAATTTACATTCATCTTTAGATACACAGTCTAAAGTTACTTTAACAGATGTTAATAGATCAAGTCCCTTGCGATATCAGCTAAAATACTAGTAGTCAACTGCCAGTTGAACTAAATATTAAATCCTCTCTAGACGTACAGTGTATTTATCTCCGAATGTGTTTTTGAAAGTCGAATCATCAATCATTTCACTATAGCTAGGGAGCCACTTGTGATATATTGGAGTTTTATGAAGAGACTTACTTTTACATTCGACAGCTTACTTGGACATTTAAACCTGCAAAAATTATTATTGATGGTAAAATACACAAACATTGATCTTAATATTCAACAAAAAGATAATAACGGGCTATTTTAAAGATAATATTACGTTGTCTAGGACGAAAACGGCAATATTCCTACCCTCAACACCCTCCCTTCAAGTCTTAACTAACTTCTGCAGAGTTTTCCCACCGAAATGTGTTTTCTTCTTTATTCAGTTATAATTTCATTTCTTGAATTATTTAGAATAAAAGGATATATTAATTCTCGTGAATAAAGTATCCAATGTCTTTGTCCCAGATAAAATTACATATTGTAAATATACTTTATATCAATGTATTGGCGCGGGACAAACAGCTAGTCATCACAAGTGGCTCCCTAGCTATAGTGAAATGATTGTTTAATAAATTATTTCCAAGCCCCAAATACAATAACTTTCACCTCGTGAGATGCTTTCTATTTTCTTTTTTCAATTCCGTACCTCCGTACCTAACGCAGGGATTGGAGCACGTGGATTGGCGGAATCAAAGTATGTAAATATAAGGAATAACTGTCTTATTTTTAAATTTCATGACGATGATCAATCGATTGAGATGCGTGATAATTTTATGCATAAACTCATTATGCAAATTATCACGCAAGCCAATCGATTGATCACATTATGAAATCGAAAAATTAGACAGTTATTTCTTAATTAACTTATCAGCTCCCCGAGTTGAGCCTCAATAGTCTTCTCACTCTTCTTATGAGGGCCTCCACAAAGCTGTAGTGGGTCCTGGACTTACAATATTCATAAACAAGCAAACAAAGATCAAGGATTAATAAAAATATAATATCACAGTTAAATGATTAAGTATGGTAGGTTTTAAGGGGGATGCAACTTTAGTGCAGTACATGGGAACAAAATGTAAACATTTATTCAAATGGCTGAAATACATTATATTTTGATCAAATTTTAAGTCCTTATGATAAAGATACAATAAATATGCATAACTGAATGCATATTTTGCATATATAATCTATCTTTTTGCAGAAAAATGCTTTTGATATGCTCCTTAGAACTGCGCAGCTACAGAAGTCAGCAGAGCCTTAAAAAAGATAGACATTGCAAATGCAATGAACCTTTCTCTGCAAACATTGTGCTTGCTTCTGCATTTCAAAGAAACAACTCAATATATATTACGGTGTATCAAACTTCGTATCTTCAATGAGTGAGAGCTTAAAGCCGCTTAACCCGAAACAGGCACATACTATCTTGTACAATAAAAGTACGTCATTACATAGATAGTATATGAAAATAAATTATAAAATTGATTTAATAGTTTATTACCTCAATCCTTACATGGAAAACGCAGATCAAAAACCTTATTGACAAACAGTAGTTCCTGACGGAAGTTAAGATCTGTAGTGAAGTCAATTTTGAATAAAATAAGTTTATCAGTTATATCTAATAATGAAGGTAATTCAAACCCGTATTTTTACTCTATTAGCAGAAGCCTTAGTCATAATACATCTTTTCAAAATTAAGAAATTATTTCAATGTAATCCATAGTAATTTTTATATTAATATCCATATATAAAGAATAAAGGAAAATCAGATATCTTAAATGATTTTTTAAAGGAGCTAAATATTGTCGATGTTAAGGTAATATATGTACTTTGTTGTGAAAAAAATGCTCGGGTTTGTTCTTCATGAGATTAACATGTAAACGATAAATTTAATTTTCGAAGGTGATTTCACGCGATATCACCAATGATCAACATTGGATTATTTTTCTGTGTGACCTAACAAAAATTATTTTTTTAACTTTTGAATGTTGATATCTTAGAAAAGAAAAAGACTTTGGGGATATAATTTGATAAAAGTTGAAACAATTTATGGACAATTATTTTTCAAGAAAAAAAAACAAATATATATTTTTAGCGATTAGAATCGGACCAAGCGGCTTTAATATTATAACGTTGTCAACATAATGATACATGATGTGTTTTAATGTCCAAACATTACTCCATACAATGTGTGGGTCATTGTTAACAATCTAGCTATTCAAGTGAGGTGCCTGAAGGAAATCTTATAGCTGCCCATTTTTTCTTTCTAACTGCTTAACAAAATAGACATATGTACCAACTTTTTGAATGTAATACATGTAATTACAATTTGTTTTCATGCACCGCATATAGTTTCATATTTTCAAATTAAATGCTAAGCATCCTCCTTGCTGTGCCCCATTTGAAAATAATTTCTATCGCCACAAAAAAGAGACCCGCCGTAAACACAATGCCAACCACGTGCTCAGTGGAATGATATTAACGTGGAAACTTGAGCTAAAAAAGATCAGTTTTTCCAATTTGCTGGATTGTGGTTAAAATCGCGTTTTTTCAATAATCAGACGATGCGGTGCAACAAAAAAGTAGTAAGTTATATAATCTAATGATTATTACTTAGTAATTTCTTATCTTGATGTTATTATGGTCGCATAAATTTATTCTGAAATCAATGTCATTCGAACTCTGTGTGACAGAGGAATGGCGGACGAAATAAATACATGGCCTCAGGAAGACCCCCATTTGAAAAAGTCAATATTCAAGAATTATGGATAATGACAAGAAAAAAAGCGAAACAAATGGTTGTAGTCATATCATCAATGAATCGAACTGACATCATTTTAAATGCATTTTTCATCTCGTGAATGCTGTAGCTGCGCAGTTTTAACGTGATTAATTTCCTCCTAATTAAAACAAAATAAACTTAATTAAGTACTAATTTTGATCTCTAACAGTAGGTAAACTAACTTTGCGCTTGTTTAGTAAAGCATTCTTGGTATATCTTATTTTACACCAGACTTGATCCAATATGGTTTGTACATCCCCCTCAACCCCGCTTGAAAAACATGGGCGGGAGGCGTGTTGAGGTTATAGTTATGGGTGTGTCTATCTTCCCGCCTCTCTGATTCTTTGCGAATCAGTTTTTGGAGTTCTAATCTCTTATCCACAACTCCAAGAACCATTGCATGATGTGAGCCTCTTATTTTAATTTTTGATCAGGTCTCCTCTCAAAGCATAACATGGAATTGACCATTACATTCAAATGGGAAGCAGGGGGTTATTATCATCGGAGTAAATATAAGGACACAACGTTTTCTGTTCATAACTACTACAGTGGAGTCGCCAATTCCGGGTCGTCTCCAATTCCGGGTCACTCATTGTATTTTATGTCATATTGTTAAAATTTATGCATAAAAAATATATGAATACGCTGGTCATGAAGAACTGGTCTTTCTGTATGTGATTAATTACAAAATTTTAAATATTAACTATGAGAGAGCATCCGACAATCGAAATTTTGAAACGCACGCATTTTCAGACTTGGATATTTCTGCTGCGGTGACGGGCTACTTTCGTTTTTGATCGCTGCAGAAAGGCTGATATAAAAGTTCTAGATAAATAATAAGAGCTCGAAAGTATGACAAATGCATTTAGTTTTAACTCAGAAATCAATCATAATGATCGCTGCCCAAATAAAATTATAATGATTATTAAATCAGTAGTAGTTTCTCCAATTGCGGGTCAATCTCGTGGCATGAACATATCAAAATTCTGTGTACAAAACCACTCGACAACCATGATATACCTTGATTATCAAATGTATTCTAACTATTAAATGTTTTTCCTAAAGATTAAAATCGAGTTAACCCTTCAAATGCATTTTTTAATAAATTAAGTTAATTGATCCTAATACATTTTTCTAAAGTCTGCATACTGCAATTTGTTTTGTTCTAACTGTTTTAAAAATAATTGAAACATATTTCTGTGGTTGTTTTACATTTTTTCCAAGCTGCATGAATTGTTTTTTGTTTCAACATTATAAAAATCGTGTTTTGAAACGTTCCGTGAATTTTACAAATAAAGTCACGTGACCCGGAAATGGAGATAATGATTCGTAACTGGGGAAGCTAGGCTTTGCTGAAATATCCCCTGTTAATATTGTTCCCGTGTATCTACTTTGAAAACGAAAAAATATTTGGATGACTCACTTTTTGTTCTCTCAATACATATATTGCATAAAATATAAATTAAACAGTTTTGCAA